TGTTTAAGTATGTTGAAGTGGCGGTTTAGTATAGAATTCACCCGAGGGGCGGCGGTGCAGTATGTGAGGATGAAATTTGCCCCTGAAGTTATATCATCTTTATTCCCACCTTTTTCTCCCATTGTTGATTCTCGGTCCAAAGAGCGAGCGCGCTCAATTGCATTGTCAATTATTTTTTGGGGTACTTTTGACGCAAGAAGGCTGCTCTCAATTCCTGTGCGTGGGTGTCAAATTGCGTGATTTCAGAGCAAATTCTTCTGTATCTGTGGGCTTGAGAGCAAGGAACACCTGTTTTGCAGTGATGGGGGTGACTGCTATGGAAATGCAGATACTGTTGGCGGTCAGTTGGTTTTTTATACAGGGAAGTAGATATGGTGGTGCCACTGAGTGATACAGTGACATCCAGAAAGTGAACACTCTTCTGCGAATACGTGTGCGTGAATGTTATCGAAGGATTCAGGGAGTTGAAACCGGAAATGAATTTGGAAAGATTATGTTCACTATCGGCCCACACGAAGAATATATCATCGAGGAAGCGTCGGTAAAACATAGGTTTGAATGGAGAATTTTCGAGGAAAGGAATCTCCAAAGAGGACATGAAAATATTTGCGTAATTTGGGGGCATTTTGGTTCCCATGGCAGTTCCGTTTACTTGCAGATAATGTTTTTAGTCGAATTCAAAGTTATTGTGCCTAAGTACAAGATTTAGGAGCACCTCTAAAGCGCTTTCGTCGAATTCACTCGTCGATTTACTTTTTCTATAGGCGGCGACTGTGGCGGCGATTCCTTTGGTGTGGGGAATGTTTGTGTACAGTGATGAGACATCAATGGTGACCAAATAGCACTCTAGAGGTACCACAAGTTTTTAGACTTCTCGAAGGAAGTGGCTGGTATCTGTGATGTATGATGGGAATGATTGTGGGATGTGCCTAATCTGAGAGTCAATGAAACTAGAGATTTTTTCAGTAGCAGTACCGTTGCTGGAAACTATGGGTCGGCCGGGATTGTTAATCTTGTAAATTTTGGGTATATATATATATATATATATATATATAGTGTGTGTGTGTGTGTGTGTGTGTGTGTGTGTGTGTGTGTGTGTGTGTGTGTGTGTGTGTGTGTGTGTTTGTGTGGCCGTGTTCTTGCTCTTCATAGTTATTTTTTTCTCCTCTAATCTGACCCTCTCTCTTTATTTGTAGTTGTCGCTCCATAAGAGACAAGGTGACATGTGACATTTTCGTGAACTTCCAAGTTTTGTGCGAACATTGCAATTGCGGGTTTAACTTGCGTTTTCCCAAATATGCGTAATGTGGACACATTTGTGCATCGCAAAACTTGGACTCAGTGCATATGGGCCCATGTTTAGCCCTGTGTTTGTTACCTATTATGCGATGTCGACTGTTGCCCAAAATAAGAGGAGTATCTGGCGCCACGCATTGGCACCAACCGCTTCTTATATATATTGATTTAAAAAAGTGGCAGAGGCTTAGCTCAGCTATGCCAGGATATACGTAGCATTAGCAAAGGTTCAGCTGATTATTCTTAGCTTTCCAGATATCATGCTGACAGCTGTTTCAATGACACACACACAGTATACGTATTATGTAGCACATGTATATTTATTTTTCCGGGCAACTACTTCGAAATTCGACGAGTTAAGCTTCTCCGCTCTACTGCACCTTTGAGCAGCATTTGCACTCTCCTTCTCCATGGCTATACCGCAGTGGCAAACGCCAGTCAGAGGCGCTATCAAGCGGCTCGAGTCTCACGCGGCCGCGGCCGAGTGCGAGGGAGGTGCCGGCTCCGGTGCGTGACACCACTGATCGTCTGCGCAGTGCATCGAATTGCGAGCACACCGGCGGCGAGCCGCGCGCGGTGGCGGCGGAGTATCATTGCGCATGCGCAGACCAGTGCCACGCGAAATTGGCTCAGCGAGGCCAGTGTAGCTAACGCTACAAAAAATAAGGCAGTGAAACCAATTGTGGATCCTAGTTGTTCTTATATTTGTTTCTTGGGAGCAGACTTGAGTGTGCCCTTTTGAGAACCACTGTAAAAATTCCTCGTGATTTCTTGTAGTCTTCGACATTATCACAATTTGCATGAATTGCCATGTGGGAACACAGAATGTTCCTCATGGCAATTCATGGGTGAGTTTTAGAGGCTGGCTACCGCCTCAAGTACTTCAAGGCTTGAATCAGCACAACTTCGAAACTCATTGGCGTCACATTTCAAAGTTATCAAATCATCTTTCACAAACCTCAAGATTTTTATAACTCCAGTTACTAACAAAGTCAGAGCGATTATTCGACCCAAGTGGGCCATCAAAATATTGCTAAGTACTGGTGCAATCACTGAACCCGGTCAAGATGTGAGTGTTTCCATCTTAATTAACACATGTGAACATTAAGTATAAAGTCATTAGGTCCAAAAAACCTCGCACTAATATACCACAATTGTTCTGAGACTGCACCATGTTCAAATATACGCTGTTTGAAAAATTTCACAAGCATGTTGTCAGGTAGCTGAAGCGGTACTCGAGCGAAACCGGGGCCATATAAACCAGGCAGCATGTTTAAACGCCTGCGAATATCCGCCAATTGAGTAATGCTATGTTTTTATTCCACCTGTTTTTTTTCCCAAAGACATTTTTGTTTTCTAGCAAGCGTGCTCATTTATTTTTTTTCTTGTGTGTATTCGTTCTACACTGTAAGCAAAAACTATCCGAGTTTGGGGTTTTTGCGGCTCATGACCTCTGAAAACTCTCTCGCGTTTAAAATTACTACCTCGTGTAGGAGTAAAAGATGGTACATGACATAGTTTTACCACCACCTCTCAGGCAAGTAGTAAAAGGATGTCGAAATCCAGTTTTACCACGTAGGGAGTTTTCTATCACGTGATTTTTAACTTGCGTTTCAAAGTTTATTACGACGTGACTGCAAGGTGCAGCTGCTTCGGTGGCTTTTGCCCCATACCCCCATCGTGACGCTCTCAGTGAATTCTAAAGGTACGCGAGGACCACAGATCTTTTTTTTTTTTTGGCATCGACGTGCCTCAGGACTGACCTCGATTCAACGCACTTTCACTGGAACTGGGGCAGCGTAAGCACAACAAGCGAGAACAGCATTCTGTGAACGAAAAAGAAAAAAGACAGGTAGATCTCAAAAGAAGAAAAAAAAAAGAAAATCTGTTGTGGAAAGTTGTCCTGCATATTTTCGCAAATTGTTCGCTTTTGCTCGGCGGTGGTGCCTTGGAGACAGACGGTGCAAGAAGCTCGGTATCTGTGTGTCTGGTTGGGCTGATGGATCTCACGTGTTTCCAACATCGTCAAACGACAGTGCGCTTCCGAGCACCTCCGAACCTGCACGTCGCGGATATCTCGCTTCCGAGCCGAATCACGAATATCTGCCATTGGTAACAAAATCAATCTGGTGTCATCGTCCGTGCTTGCCTACTTGAGAAGCGCTAAGTGAAATGCTTCACGCTGTCGTCGGCACCGAGCCGCGGCCGCGAGTGACCAGTGGGAGTGTGTCGCCGGGGCAGGTGAAAGAAGCATCGCATATAATTTGTTCCACAGTAGGCGATGTCTGCGTGAGTAATGTGCTGCCCGAATTGCTCACCTCATGCACCAACTTGTATCAAACATGTAGCGCGAAGCCGATACGAGGCAGACGGAACGAGCAAGCGGCTGCCGGTGAACACGAAGAAAACCCGGGCGGTGATCTTTCGTTGGAAGTATGCATACACCGCCCCGTCCCCGTAAGATAGCGGTGACGTGTTCATTTGTGTCTGAAATGACGACGAAATTCGCACAGGATATGTGTTCTGTGATCGCCAGCTGTGTTTCATCGGATAGCCGTGCTCCTCGAAAAGGCCTAGTACGCCGTCGGTAAGAAGCTTGTGTGCAGGCGTGCAGCGCTCCTCTGCGCCCGTTGTGATGAATACGGGCTGCTACTGTGTTTGTACACCGTCGCTCAATGGAAATCATTGAGCCACCATGGTTTTTGCGTACTTATGTATATTTTATGGACTTGTGTATTAGCAGTGCTAACACGCGTGGGGCCATGAGCCCGGTGTGCCAAGTAATAATTGGATACTCAAAAAGGTGAGATTGGGTAGATTTATAATAAAAGGTCGGTGTGACATTTAGTTTCCTGCAGCCCACCTTAAGTTTACGCTTGCACCTTCAACCGTTGTTGTTATTCAGTGCAAAAAAGAGCTCTCCTACCGGTCCCACAGGGCCGGTCAAAAAGACGTGCCTATATATACCGGATTGTCAAAGTGTAGTTCAGCAACGCGTGGAGTCTGTTCGAGTGGTGTATTATTCTGCATTTGTTGAGTGTACGTGTTTGTCTGTATGTAAATCTATGTCACCAATTCTGCCGTTTAATAAATTCATTTAATTCTGCTAGTTAATAAATTAGTTGACTCTGGGCGAATGTCCCGTCAATTTTCATTTTTTACCACCAGAAATAACTCCCAGAAATCACCTCAAAACCTTGTGAAGGCAGTAAATATTTACTCTCTCTATACTCGCTCAAAACCTCACTGGGTTAAATAATTACTACTCTTCCTACGTTCAAAAACTCAGTTAGCACGAGAGTAAACTTTTACCTCGATAGTAGGTGGTGAAAAAAACCCAGGAGAGGTAGTGCGCTAGAGGACAAATGGTTTACCCAGTTTTTGAGGTTATTTGAGGTCATTTTCGTTTAGTGTGTAACATAATGTGAGACGAAATGCCTATCTATGCGTGGTGTACGAGTGCTCACCGCGTTCTTCAAGATGTACAACATTGCACCTGTGTGGAACTGTGTCGAAAAAAAAGTCCATGGTCCCGTCATTCATAAGTGGGTAAACAATGTATTCCTTCATTTGAAAACCCATCACTCTTTCTAAATCATAACAATTGCGGGCATTGTTTTCTTAATAATACCCGTACCTTAAAACCTTAAGACTAGAAATATGTAGCCTAGTACTCTGCTACATTTGTCCAAAACATCCTTATGCATGGATGAGTTGTATAAGTCCCCTCGTGATGGGTGCACTAAAAAGTTTTCTTGTTCTTTTTGTCTTCTTTGCTTGTGTCCATGGCACGCTTTCTAGTAAGTGACTATAGGGAAAGCATGTTTCGATGCTTCTAACATATCTTCTTTCGGTGGTCCTGCATTTAGCGAATTGCTATATTTGTTCTACTCAATCATGTCAGTTTACCTCGTAGGCGTACAAATCTAAAAAAAGAAAGAGTAATTTGACTCGTTTTCACAGTTCTGGCTCGCCACGTGTAAGGCTCTTCTAGAAGACTGGTGAACTTTCTTTTCAGGGCCCCGCCGCGGCGGTCTAGTGGTTAAGGCTGCTGACCCGCAGGTCGCGGGATCGAATCCCGGCTGCGGCGGCTGCATTTCTGATGGAGGAGGAAATGTTGTAGGCACGTGTGCTCAGATTTGGGTGCACGTTAAAGATACCCAGGTGGTCGAAATTTCCGGAGCCCTCTACTACGGCGTCTCTCATAATCATATGGTGGTTTTGGGACGTTAAACCCCACATATCAATCAATCATCTTTCTTTTGAGGTAATTGTGGTCTCTTTTGAGAGTTGTGTGACCCACAGTATAGTTAACGTGCTTTATTAACAATAGCTATACACGTGGCCGGTCAAGACTACTTAAAAGGAGTCACCCATATTCTTTGTTTTCTGAGAATGTAGGTTTCGGCCCAGCTGCACGTGCTTAGGCTTAACGATAAACCACGGTACTGGTAACGGTTTCTATCAATCGCACGAACTTCTTCAAGCCGCAGATGCTGTGTGACTGCCACTCAATCACAATAAATGACCCGAGTCATGCAGCACTTGCTACAATGTCCATGTAAGGAACTATTCTTATATGTTGTATACTTCACGGAATGTGCATACTAGCCTCAAACGTAAAAAGTTCTGAATTTATATTTTTGTTGCACTTTTTTTGCCACAATCTATGTTTAGCAGTCGACCCGTTTGCCTGACCTATATTTTATTTTGAGAAAATAAGAAACGTACCGGACTTCTTCCTCAGTAAACAATACATATTTATGAAAGTTATATAAGTTTCTTCGTCGCATACATTAGTGGACTGATTGCTTATTTAGCAAGCCAGTTAAAGTGATGATTGAATGCGAATGCAACTTCTTCATTTCAGTCTGGGGTGGGCGTAAGCCCCCACCGAAAGTACCAGCCTTTTGCAACAACCCACCATTCTACGGTCCCTGTCAGCCAATAACGAAAAACTGGTATTTCAACGTGGCCGCAAAGTCTTGTCTGCCGACAAGTGCTGGCCTTTGCTGTGTTGCTGGCAACAACTGCTTTATCAGAAAAGACAAGTGTAGCGAAATGTGCGAGCGTCAACGAAAACTCTGTATGTATATTATTGTGTAGGGGGGAAATATCTGGATGAAATTGTAGTTGTGCTTTATTAGTCAGCAGATTGTAACGCTGACTACGGGTACCATTCCAGAGTTCATGAAAAACAATCCCAAAATGTTTAGAAGGCAGGAATGAAGTTCATATGTTAGAGGGAAAGAGGTCGACTAGAAAATAATTGACTTGGCTTTTTTGAGCAGTTGGATGGACAAAGAGACAGAGAAATATCAGGAATGCAGAAGCTGAAATTGAATTCACTAGTGGCTGTTGACCAGGAAGCCCACAAAAACAAATAGGCATTGATTATTGAAATCTAAGTACTATAGTCACTGATTAAGATGTTAATGGCGGAGTGAGTAAGTAGCTGGAATGAGTTTTTCAGATAATAACACCAGAGTGGCAATACGCACAATGGCTATTCGGTAAAAAAAATCTGTCGCTTACGAAGAATATTTGAAACACATTCGTTAGCACGAGGAGCTCAGGCACTCAAGATGACTTTTGATCACCTAGTGTTGACTAATGTGTCAAAATATGGGTTAACGAAGACTTGCGCATCTGTCTGGATGCACCCGCTATGGAGTGGGGGTGGGTTAATAGGAACTACACATGAACGTATCAATGGCGCAGAGAAGCCCCGAGGCCGCAATGTTACTAAGGGCAAGATGTACTACACTTAATCTGGTCATTATTCGGACTTGCACTAACTCACATGAAGTGAAGGGTCGGTTTTAGACGTGTGGTGACCTTACGCCTAAAGCAGCTGCCCGATATACTAAGTCCCAACCTGAGACGTGCACTCTGAAACAGTTCCCAAACGCGAACTTATGGCCATGAAATGGAGAAGCGACCAACGTGATGAGAAAATGGACATCGTTCGCGAGAAGGGCGATAAAGATAGAGCGATTGCAAGAAAATAAATTCCATACTCAGAAAGGCTATCAACTGGACTCACGCAGCGCGTTGCTGAGGCACAAAGATGGGCGCTTGAAAAGAAAAAGCACAAGGGCATACAAAAAACGAGCGTGAACAAATAACTATAACAGTTGCTTGCACTCGTCTTGTGTATACAGTAAATACACAGCGGCCCCAAAGACTCGTCATTGGGTGGGGGAGAGATTTGTGTGGAGTTGATCGTCTCCACTAGGCTAAGGTACTCGTGACAAAGCAATGGTAGAAGTTATGAATGATGATCACGAAGGGGCATTGTGTGAAAGCCTTTGGCATGTTCAAGAACACCAAAAGGCAATGGATGGGCAGATCGGGTAAAAAAAAATTTTGAAAGGGCGTGAAGACTGCCTTATGGGATATGTCACTGCAAGAGGCTGTTACGAATGCCAAAGAGCACGGATAGTGCTCCCCCGTTCGTAAGTCGACAGTGAATCTACAACGTTTTGCTCATCGGTTGCGCTGAGAAGCTCCCGCTTATTCCCACTACCAGAACAGGAGGCAGGTGCTGATGGAAGCGTCTCTTGGTTGGCGTCCAGAAAACAGGCGGTAGCTGCCGACAACATAGATCCAAGATGAGAGAGGGAAGGTCGATGAAACGGTACTCAGCTCCTACACTATGGTTTTTGTTATATGTTATCCGCGACTTCCACCAAATATAAAGTAGATTTATTCAACGTAGAGCTGCTCACTCGTCAAACATTTACCAAGCACAGTGCGCTATCTCCAGCTTTTGATGCACTCTTGATGCAGCTACCTTTGTACCATCTCACTTCTTATTCGTCACAGAATTTCCAACAGAAAAAACTGATAGCACAAAGTAGAGTAATATTTACTTTGTCACAAAGTTGAAACGTTCAAGCATATATTTTTATAACCAAAAATGCTTCTACAGTTAACTTGATGAAATTGTCCAACCTATTTGACTACCTTTGTGGTTAGAAATGTTTTCAAAAAAAAGCTCGACTGCTTTAGAAAGATGTTCACTTGTCTGAAACATATCAGAAATCAGAAAAGGTTCGCTGCAGTGAAACAAACAGATTGACCAGGCTAAACTGGAACCTATTGTGTATCCTTTTCACCACATACCATTTTTTTAATTCTTCAGCTTCTTTTGTCAACATAGAGTAAAATTTGAAAATTTGTGGTGCTTTGAAGTAATGCTTTGAAAGTGACAGTGCTTTGAAAAGATTTGCTATCAAAACCTGTAATGTAACTATCTATTCATACTTATTTATATCTTTCCAGTATCGTCGAAAGTGGCACTTCCGCAGATGTGCGTGTCATCTCCGACATTTATTCACTGTGGCCAACTGCGAAGCGCCTGGTACTATGATTCTTTTACCGGGAATTGTAAAATGTTCACATTCAATGTTTCAAGTTGTGGCACTGAACGCACTGAGGCCAACATATTTTTGTCAGAACTGAAGTGCCAGTCCACGTGCATCCGTAAGTATAAAAATTTTTTCTTGGGGCTAAAATTACTACAGAAACAGTTCTGTGACCTTCGCAGTTATTCTTTACTTCTTTGTTCTTGCACACATCTGAATATAGTATCGCGTCTTCACGTATCTTATATCTTCCTTCCTTGTTACACGTCTTGGTTTAGAGCAATTGCGCAAGCTTGCGTGGTAAGGTTGCCAGAAGCTAATGTATGTGTTAGTGTATGAAAGGAGTAAGCAGTTGTTAGTCAGCACTGCGTCGTGCTTTTTTTTGTTCATTGGGAAAATGTACGCTGGTGCAATATATTTAGCCTAAGGATTTTGGCACTGCTGTGAGATACTATCAAGATAAATAAATGCAAGTATACAACTGCCCAGCTTTCAGCAGGTTAGTCACGACTGAGCGAAACGTGTACGTTCTTTTCTGCAAAACTGGGATGCACAATAAACAAATAACCACTGCATGGAAGTGCTGATACCCACTCTCCCACCTCAATTGCGCAACTGGTGCCGGCGAGAGAGGGCGAGTTTTAGCGTGAACCGATTTCAGACGCGCCGGGTGGCCTGCCGCCGCCTTTTGACAGACGAGCTGCAACATCGAAACATTTGTGCTTATTATAAGCAAACGTGTTTCGATACTCGGTTGTGAAATGCCTGTGTGGCATTCGCAGCCTTACTGCGGCTCATATTGTGAATATACAATTAAACTCGCGGTTTTGCACTTCGTATTTTTTCCGCTGAATGCACAAGAGCAACCGCGTGGACGGACCGGATAATCGCCACGACAGGCTGCTTTCTTCCGCAGATACGGTAAATTCGGGGAACGAAATATAATGGAACATTTAAATGTTATTACTTTGTCTTGATATTTAGCCAGATAAATCACTACCAAGTCATTCTTTACCCATATCTGTCACGATACGTGCGCACGAGTATTGTTCGCAGTAGCGTGGGCTGGCTGACTGCGACGATATTGAAAACAACTTGGCTAAATATTAGATTACTGCGTACAAAACATAAACAGTGAGTGATAATTCGAACAACAAATCACGTTACTGTGTCAGGCTCGTCAAATTATTCACTCGGAAAGCTCTGGTGAGGAGAGGGGGTCACGCATAGCTTCACGATAGTTGTGACCGTCGTACACAAGAACGGCTCACCACCGCCTCTCGCATTAAGAGCCATAGACGCTGCCATTCTCGTCTTTCTTCGTTGAGGCACGCGATAGCACAGTGGCCAAGGAAAATAGCGAAGCTGTGGCACCAAAAGTTCTCGAAGAAGTGGTATCGAGCTTCGAAAACGACCGCTTTAGACCTCAAGTGATATAAAGTAATCTCAAAACCGTGAAGACCAACGCTCACTATAGGCTTCTAACACATTGCATAGTCCGTGGTGTGCAATGGCTGCATAAAATTGCACATCCAGAACTTTAGCCAGCTAACAATAACTTAGTGATACGAGTGGCGACGCAGACGACACTAGATGCCGGCACGACGGAATCCCACAACCCTCCTTCAAAAGCACGTGGCTTCCGCCGAAATTGGCGCTCGACAGCTGACGTTGCGTGGTACAGTGTACTGAAAGATTATTGCAGGGATACGGTGCACTTCTAGCACACTGCAGCGGTGGCAGTTTTGTGGGTGGGAACAGGAACTGACGTTGACTTCACTACTGTTTTTTAAGACCTGGTTTTTAAGACCAGCACGAGCTACCTGCTGCATCACGTCGCCGATCGTAGAGTTTCCTATAATTAACTAGAGGAGACTCTGGTGCTGCGATCGTTCAGCGATCACGGGAACGATAGGTAGCACACGAATTTGCCTAGTCTTCGTATTTGCGGGTGGCGAATCGCACTTGTGGCTTCATTTATTGCTGCGTTTCGGTTTTCTGTCGAAGGAAAGAACAAACCCTTTTGAACTTCGAGGCCTGATTTGAAACCATAAGCCTAAAAGAATAAGGCGATGAAGCAACCGCTGAACAGTTGCTGGTTTTTGTTTCGTGAGAAAACAGCTCTAAGCCACACGAACACACATGGAGCCAGAACTGCGAAGATTAGACGAATCCATGTACTACCCATCCTTACCATGCTCGCTGAAGCGGCGTGCGTTGCAGCTCCCGTGGACATTAGCGCCAGCATTCTCTCTAGTGTATATTTAGGAAACTCTATGTCACTGATAACCGAATTGGCGTCACGGCACGTGGAAGGAGGGCTGGTCAGGCGTAGGAAAAATATGCGGGAATGGTATTTTGAAACGAAGATACGCGCCGTGCAGCGCTGCAATATTCAGAAAACGCGGTCGCTGCGGCCTACTCTACAAATTACCGAGCTCGTTTGGGGGTTGTCAAAAAAAGAAAAACGTCAGATCCTGTTGACTGGCCCTTTAAGCACGGGTCTAGGAGATGGAAACAGCGATCGGGTTCACTCAAAAAATTGCTGCCTCTTGCGTTTTATGTGCATTTAGGCTTATAACGGAAAGCGCAAAATACACCTGCTTGCATTATAAGTGAATCACCAGGTTCTGGTTATTAAACGTGCAAAGTGGGACACTTCACAAAACGGCAGAAGCGATGTTTTAAAGGCGCTCACTTGAGCCAATCTAGCGGATACTGACAAGTAGCCGATGCGCGTAAAAAATGGAATTGTTTGCTCCACGTGTCGTAGCCAAGTGAAACCTCTAAATAGCCGTCTTCTTCACCACAAGAGATGGCAACACCAGCATAATCAGCCCCAATTTAGACCATTGTATTTATTATGGATGTTTGAAGTGTCCCGTGCACATTACCCTAATGGTTCAACCAGACAGTCTATCTAGTTCTGGCGGTGCGGTGGTGATTCCAGTTAGAGTAATCACTCTGCAAATCAAGCTGTCTACGTCAATACGTCTACGGTGGCAGAACCTGTGGCTGTGCGTGGTGCCCTAGAGTACGTCTAATCCCAGAGACCGAGTAAATGGGCTGTGTTTTTCGACTCGAAAGCGGCCCTACAGAGCATGTAGTCAGTCCTTCGACGAGGTTGCCACGAACAGTCAACATACGACGTTGTCAAGCTTCTTCATCACGTCACAGAGACTGGCAACGAGGTCAATTTTTAGTGGCTACTTGGTCATAGTGGAATCAGTGGCAATGAATCCGCAGACAACGTGGCTCGCACATCCCACCTAGAAGAGCACATCCTTCCGATTTATTTGTGAAAGACAGAGGCTGTTATGCCAGCGAGTCCTCGTCAAACGACCGTGCCTCTGAAAAAGGCAATCTGGGTCAAGGCCAGCCCGCAGTCCGCCTGGCGCGATCACCTCGACGGCGTGAACACGCGCGGCGCTTCTCTGGCCCACGTGCATTGAGTCAGCTGCGCACGTCACAGCGAGCCGGCGTCTTCGTGTCTGGTGGTATGACGCGTGGCGCGGCGACGCCATTGGAGGAATCTGCCCTGACGACCAGCGGCGCTTCTGATTGGACATTTTGGTTGGACCCGGTGTAAATAAAAGAAGCCCTGCGGCGCGTCGTGATCGGAGGTCCTAGGAGAGGAGTCCCCGTGTCGGAGAGCCTTCATGTGTGTGAGTCGGCGGTCTTAGGCGAAAAGCTGACCTATGTGTTAGAGAGGAGAGCTCGGCTCTTCGAGTCTCTGTCGGCCCCAGTGCCGAAATTGTAACGCCTCTGTATATATGCTGTACATAAACCTTGTTTAACTCACCGTCGTCTCGTCCGCTCGTCTTATCAGCTCTGCGCAGAAGCAGTCGCGAGCTGATAAACATACGCTACCAAACGGCTGGTGACCTTCCCGGCGGAGTGGGAAGCAGTGGCGCCATCGGGACCGGGTTGGCGTCGCCGTCTTTCGCAACCGTGGTGGCTTCGGCGGGACAGGCCCCTCGTTCTCAACAGTGGTTGGCAGCTGCGGGATCGACCGGCGTCACCGACATCGATGCGGTGAGTGCCTGATGTTTTCCCCTCAGTTCACCAGACTACTCTAGCTCAGGTTGTAGTAGTTTAGAGAAGGGCTGTGTGAAGCATTGAAGGGAGCTTTGATCGTTTCAAGCCAAGTCGAAGCGCTTTGAAACCAAAGTTAATGCGGAGGGGGTAAACACGGGAGTGTGAAAAATTGCTTGCGCGTCTTGCTAGTAGGCTTATAGTGGGTACGGCAAGTAGATTCTTAACAGGGGCAAACAGCAAGAGGCTAGTGTGAACGATGGAGAACCTTAAAGTGAAGGAACTCATCGAAATTTGTGAGGAACTCGGCATTACTTTGGGCCGTGCGAAACGAAAGCAAGCGATCATTGAGATCATGAAGCATGAGGGAGTGTCGGCTGAGGAAGTCGATGAGGCCTGGGTGGATATCAAAGCACGCCGCGAGGAGACTGAAAGGCGAGAAGCTCGCGAACGTGAGGAGGCTGAAAGGCGAGAAGCTCGCGAACGTGAGGAGGCTGAAAGGCGAGAAGCTCGCGAACGAGAGGAGGCTGAAAGGCGAGAAGCTCGCGAAGAGGCTGAAAGGCGCGAAGCTCGCGAACGTGAAGAAGCTGAAAGGCGCGAACGTCGCGAGGAGGCCGAGAGACAAGAGCGCCTAGAGTTGAAACGATTAGAATTGGCAATCCTACAGTGTTCGCAGGCGCCTTGCGTAGCTTCTCCGACGATTCAGGTCAGCGGTTTTAGAATTCGGGACCAACTGCCACCGTTCGTAGTAGGCGAGGACATGGCGAAGTATCTCGTCAAGTTCGAACACGTCTGTGAGCGAAACGCTTTGGAGCGGTCTCTTTGGGCGCGGAACCTGTTAGCTCTTCTTCCCGGCGAAGTGTCCGACGCGATAACTTGCTTGTCGAGGGAAGTGTTTGAGAGCTATGACGAGGTTAAGGAAGTGCTCTTGAGACGTTATAAGTTGTCACCCGAGGCTTTCAGGCAAAGGTTCCGGTATGCTGAAAAAGGGAATGAGTCACACGTTGACTTCGCGTTTCGTCTTAAGGCCGATTTAATTGAATGGCTCAAGGGCGAAGGTGTTTATGACGACCGCGATAAAGT